GCCGAGGCGCCTGCCTGCCTGCTTGCCTCCCCTCCTCCCTCCCTCCCTCCTTCCACGGCAATTCTCCGCACTCCCTTGTCCCAGAAAACTGAGAGCGCGAGAGCGAAAGAGCAAAGAGGAAAGGCAAGGCGGCAGGCAAGGCGCGCGCGCCCCTCCTCACGCAGCCCACGAGACCCGCACGCTCTTCCCCTTCGCCTCCCCAGTGCGGAGGCTCGCGCCGCCGTGCGTCCCCCTCGGCCGTTCACCTGTCACGGCCCCGCGCGCCGCGCAAAGTGACGTCAAGGCCCAGCAACAATTCCCTCCCCCAGCAAAAAAAGAAATAAAGAATTCTGCCTAGTGTGGTTACCTACTTTTTTTGGGGGGGGGGGAAGAGAGCGCGCGCACGTACTTGGAGAGAACCCGAGAGAAAGGCCGGGTGGGAGTCAAAAAAAGAAAGCTCGCGACGGGAGGGGAAGCCTTTTTCTCTCTCCGAGGCCAACTGAGTTGACGGGAGGAGTGTGGAGGGGGAAGAGATGCCCGGGGTGGGACTCAAGGCTGCAGTGCCAGCTGCATTCCCTGCGCGGTGCAGCCGGCGGGGCGCGCGTGGGCTTCCTTCCGAATGCAAGGCAGGCGAAACCCAGGTGTCGTGATGCAGCATCTCGGCCTTTAGAGAGGAAGAGGGAGGGGGAGGGGGGAGCAATACGGCACCGAAGTCCTGCATGCGGATGTCTCTCCTCACCCCGCACTTCGTGTCGGTGCAATTCCTTCCCCTCGAGATTTGCTGCAGAGGGATGGGGGGGAAGAGAGAGGGCGGAAGGCAGCTACATTGTTTTAAAACGCTGGCACGATCCCAGATACAATGCTTCAGTCGCCCACAGAGACTCCGAATCACACCAGGTGTTTCCCCCCCCCCTTCCCCTTTTCAGTTGGCCTCGTCCCTTGCAGTGGAGATCGTCTCCCCAGCAAATTTCTCCGGCAATTCTTGAACAGTAAAAAAAAAAGGCATTAGAAACACATAAGGAATGGCTCGTCATTACGGGGAGTGCGGCAGCCACAGACTCACTCGAGGGACCGCTCGTTTTTATATAACCCAAGGAATTCTTAGAAAAAGTTTGCACAGATGAAGGTTAGATGTAAAAGCTTGTAAAGGAAGACGACCGAATTTATTTGCTAACCTCTATCCTACCTTTCCTTCAAAATCTATTTAAGGTTCTTGACACAAAAATACAAATTGATTTTTTAAAATGTTTTTGTGCATAGTCTATACTCTGGCTCTAGTCTTGATTTGTAAAGAGTTTGTGAAAGTTCCGTGGGTGAAGATGTGAACCAAGACAACCTTTTCTGATGAAGACAATATGCAGATATTTTAAGTAAATAAAAATAAATAAGTTACTCAATCATCCAACAAAATGCCAGTTACCAGAAAGGGCCCTTTCATGTATTTTCTCATCATAAACCTGCAGTTGTAGGGGAATCACTATCTGCATAAATTCTCCATTCTGATAATTACCACATATGCAAAAAGCAAAGTGGTTTATAGCCTATGTTCCTCATGTTTGTGGAACTCTGTTCCTAATTATCTATGTGTGGTCCTATAATACAGGACTCACTTTTGGGAAGATGCTTTTCCTTAATGCTGGTTTCATTTTTACATATTGTGATTTAGGCTGTTCTGAATTGTTTAATGGCTGTAAGTTGCTACTTTTTAAAAATCCAGTATAATACAAAATGATTTAAGACAGCATTTAAGGTGATATATAGACCAGATTATACTATAAACACCATTAAACAATCCAGAATAGACTAAATCACTATTAAAACATAGCATCAAAACATTAAGAAAAGGCATTCCTCCTTAAAATGAGCTTTTAAGACCTGTTTAAAGTCTTGTTATACAAACTTGGTTATTTAGAGTGCTGTTTTATTGAACATTTCGTAAACCATCTTATGTAAGGCACCTATGCAAAAAGGTGGTCTGTAAATCTCAGTAAATGAATTAACGGTGTTAATTCTCATAACTTGCTTGTGAGGTAAGTCTGTATGCTTACCATTTTACAGCCTCAAAAAAAAAATGATTCTGGGTACGTATGTGTTTTCCAGGATTGCATAATGAATCTGTGCCAGATATGGGCTTCGGATCTAGATTCATGCATATCCAGGTTTCTCTGCACACTGCTTCATACCCTGTTTCCCTGAAAATAAGCCCTAATTCTCATAACTTGCTTGTGAGGTAAGTCTGTATGCTTACCATTTTACAGCCTCAAAAAAAAAATGATTCTGGGTACGTATGTGTTTTCCAGGATTGCATAATGAATCTGTGCCAGATATGGGCTTCGGATCTAGATTCATGCATATCCAGGTTTCTCTGCACACTGCTTCATACCCTGTTTCCCTGAAAATAAGCCCTTGTATGATTCTCGGATCTAGATTCACACATATCCAGGTTTCTCTGCACACTGCATCATACCCTGTTTCCCTGAAAATAAGCCCTTGTATGATTTTTCAGGATGCTCGTAATATAAGCCCTACCCCCAAAATAAACCCCAGTTAAGTGAAACCCTGCCCTCCACCATTGTGCAGCAACCAGAAGAAGTTGACATGACTGTATTTGAATAAATGTAGATTGTTGTACATGGAAAAAATCCCCTGAAAATAGGCCCTAATGTGTTTTTTGGAGCAAAAATTAATATAAAACTCTGACTTATTTTTTGGGAAACATTGTAGAAGAAAGCTACAAGGGTCTTTTCTATTATTAGACCACACACTATGTCTAAATGGCACAATTTCCTATTTAATTTCATATTGAAAAAATTCAGATGAAGGTCAGTAAATTTCAGATAAAGAAGCAAGATTAAGCAAGATTATTGACCTTCATCTGGAATTTTTTTTACACTATGAAATAATTGGGAAAATGTGAAGGCAAGAAGAGAAGGGGATGACAGAGGATGAGATGGTTGGACAGTGTCATCGAAGCGACCAACATGAATTTGACCCAACTCTGGGAGGCAGTGGAAGACAGGAGGGCCTGGCGTGCTCTGGTCCATGAAGAGTCGGACACGACTAAATGACTAAACAACAACAACAATCTTGCTTAAAATGAGATTGTACCATTCATAATGTGCCCCAAAGGTCTAGAAAATATGAGAGATGATGAAGTCATACAAGCTGATGTGTCTACACTTTCCAGTGTTTTATCTTTGGAGCTCCCCACTATCATTACCAATTCCCCTGCCAAGCAGGTATTCAAACAATGTGCACATTAAATTTTTCTTCTGATTTTCATTAATATACAAGAAAACATTAGAAAACGTGGCACAAATTTAAACTAAAAGGTCCTGTGCCAGAAATAAAATATGGACACAGCAACACTTTACTCAGGGAAAGAAGAATATCATTAGCCTGTGTTTAAATGTGAGAAGAGCTGTGTGCTTCGAAGATGAATCGGCTCAGCTGGGCTGAACTGGCATGGATCCATCCAAGCTGCCAACAGAGCACAGAAATGTTAACTGTCAGTACTAGGCACTTCCTTTCAAGTGCTCCTCATCTTCTACTGCCAGTCAACATTTTCAGAAACAGCTACCAATGCGATGAATATTTGAAAAGGTAAATTTAGCTTCAAAGAACCACTGTGAGTTCCCTGTTCTTTCTGCTCTTGCCATGGCTACAGGAATCAGGAAACATTTAAGTAGTGTCTGTTTTGGAGAAAAATAGAGTGTACCTTTTTTAACACTTCTACAAAATTCCAAAATAGATGTTTTTGTTTGGGACAGATCTCATAATTTAGTATTTCACTACTTGCACTGCACCCTAACAGTATCATCCAGGGGAGATTTCCCAAAAGGTATGTGGTCGTCTTCCATTCAAATAACACCCTTGGAGGTCTGCCTTTTTGTGGGGGGAGGCAGTTTTTCCTATCTGAAATAAAAAGGGGGAGCTATATTACAAAATACAAATGCAAGGATAGGTGATATTTTTTATGCCACTAATTAAAAATTTGCCTATGTGTTGTGATTTTGTCCACTTTGTCTGCATATATGTTAGGAGATGCATAAAGAGTAGAGAAGTGTACACAGAGTACAATTGCATCCTGTGTTATGGGATGATTTTTTGTTATAGATGCTAAAGCAGGTATGCAGGAAGTATGGCATCTGGTTACCTGGTTTCATAATCAGATTTAAACATTAGAAAAGCAAATTAAGGATTTGGCTAAGTTAATAGCAGAGCTTATCTGCATGTGGAAATTAGTATCTCCCATGTGTGTGGGGGCATTGCTTGGGTGTATGGGCATGAATTAGAATAGCACAATTGAGATAGAAATGCAGTATTTACATATAGGAAATAGGACAAAGAATGTGGGGATATTTACAGTAGTTGCACTTTGTGGCATGCTTCTCTCCGTCCTTTATTTACCTGTGTGGACTCTTGCATTCTAGAATTCCCAGGTGTTGAAGAATGGAGTTCAGTGTTGGAGGTTACATTTTTGAAGTGGGGTACCTATCATGGGGAATCTTGGCAAAGAAGTCTTTTTAATGTGCTCAGGTTTCTAGGACTATTCTAGGGACCATCAGTTATGAGCAAAATATTGGGTAAAGTGTGTGAAGATTGTTGGGTTTTTTTAAATAGGCCACAGTTACAGAGCAGTCTAGACAGAAGCCTACAGCACAGATTAGTATACTAAGTTACAAATTTCCTTCAGATACACCACCTCCTATGGTGGTTAGTTTTCATTCAGATTTACATCACTTTACTGCAGCTGGCATACAGTCTCAATATGAGTAGTCAGAGACTCTTGGTTTAGAAAGAATAAAAATGTATCTCTTTTACTTACACAATCTTCATGTTAGAGCACAAACAAAAATATATTCACTGGTTACATA